TCTCTCTCTCTCTCTCTCTCTCTCTCTCTCTCTCTCTCTCTCTCTCTCTCTCTCTCTGATATATATACATCAAACAAAACTTTATTATAATAATTATGAAGGAAATAATCGCCTATAACGGTCAAAGCTGGATCAAAGTGCTAATAATAAGTATGAGTGAATTCTTATATACCATCTATGTAGCCCCCCCATAATTGAGCGCTGAAACATTCAGACATATAACGCATAAATACTACACTAGTATTATAATATCACCGAATAATACTTGATTAATTTCAACTTTAAACACAAGGATGACAACTCAAAACTCCGTAAATAAATCTGATCTCAATAATCTTATTCTTTATATTACGAAAAATATCACAAGTTGGCGTTTCGTCCCGGTTTCCACTACTGGACTCATCAGTAAGGCAATGTAATGGAAACCTACCTTAGACGCCTTGGGGAGATGTTAGAAAGAAGTTCTATATAAACAATCACTCACATAATTTCTAACATCTCCCCAAGGCGTCTAAGGTAGGTTTCCATTACATTGCCTTACTGATAAGTCCAGTAGTGGAAACCGGGATGAAACGCCAACTTGTGATATTTTTCGTAATATAAAGAATAAGATTATTGAGATCAGATTTAGTGAGATCAGAAAACTTGGCAGCACTTAATTAATTAATACAACGTTTTCTCAAACGTGTTTCGCAATTTCAATGTTAAATATTTATAATCTTTAGAAGTATAAATACTATAATTAATTTAAATAGAAAAAATGAATGAACATGTTATTAATTATTACCTTAAAGCGATATGAAGCGCGTAACATAATTTCTTTATAATATGTAATAAGACGTATCATAATACAAAATTGTTTAAGGATTGAAACTCATGACGCTCTCTGTTACAATTTGTCTATCAGGAGCTCCAAACTTATATGTATATAACGACATGAATTTTTAAAACTTTATGATCACTTATCTTATCTTTTAATGGAATGTGAGTTTCCTGATGCTTTTCGAAAAACTACCTTAACACTTAATGTCTAACTAGCTCGAACACGTTTTCACATGTTAGCATATTAGGGTTAAACAAATTTAATGAAGATAGTGTAAATGAGAAAACTTACATTAGCGATTTTAGAGACATTTATTTAAACGAATCATTATAATTCAACTGTTACTATAAAAGTTCTTGTATATTAACAAAACATGAATACTTCAATTAAATTTAATTGAGAAAATTTTTCAATTATTCTACTTAAAAGGTTAGCCAAACACAAAATTTATTTCAAACACCGGCTTCGTTGTGAACAATTCCTAAATTTCTTTACTCGTAAACCATCATGTCTACTTTAGTTAAAGTATTTAGAAGTATACGTTCGGTAGTACACGGTCCATCTATAAACAAAACGAATTATATTTTAAAGCATCTTAAATATTATTTTACTATTATTTTGGTATTTTATAAGAAGCTACATATATTATATACATGAAAATACATAAATTTTCTAATTTAATTATGTAAAATGTTTTCAGTTTTTTCCAACAAAATTTAAATGTTCATGTCGGACTATGAGTCATGAATACTGTGTCTGTGATTAATATGAAGAATGTAATTGATATAATAATTCTGAAAAACGATTAAAAGAAAATGAAACCATAAAAGGCAATCCTTTAATTGTGGCTTTAATTGTGGCTTTATTATTTTAATTTCAAAGAGAAAATTAATAGAAAAGAAATAAGGACTCGTTATATAAAAATAAACAATAAGATGTCAAGAGCGATATAAGTCATAAAGATTTTTGTTCAATAATAAAACATATAATTATTCACTACTTTCAATAATTAATTTAAACAATGCTTAACACTAATTCCCTTCAAACAATTAACTATGATAATAAAAATATAAGTATTAATAAATATAAATATGTTACAAGTTTCGGCTCTCGGATTGAACCCTCCTCAGACATTAAAAAACGGCGGACAAAATTAATCGTTGAAAGATCGTTCGTGCAGTTTCCATTAAACCGTTTTTTAATTAATGTCTGAGGAGGGCTCAATCCGAGAGACGAAACTTGTAACATATGTATTTATATTTATTAGTTCTTATTTTTTTATTATCATATTAAAATCATTTTAAGACCGTACAATTGATAAACAATAAACATACAAGAAGAAGGAAACCAATAACGGTCAAAGCCACTAACGGTCAAAGCTGGATCACAAATGCTTATTAAATTTATGTGTGAATTTTATATGTATACTGCGGATGTAGTCCCTTTAATCGTGTGCCGAAATTTTTTCATACAACGCAACGCTAAACAACTACCGCAGTAATATAACTTTTAGTTAACTTGACAAGCAATCTAACAATTTTTGATGCTTATAGCATCTTATTGGATCTTAATAATATGTTAAAAGACATATATTAAACTGTAACGATGTAAATGTTAAAGTAATGATAAATGTAAATCTGTGAAAAATAAGATTGCGAAGAATATCACGAGTTGGCGTTTCGTTCCAGCTTCCACTACTGGACTCGTCAGTAAGGCATTGTAGTGGAAGCCTATCTTATACGCCTGCAAGAGTTATTCAATCGAGATTCTATACAAAGCGATATACGCGTATTAAAGTATTTGCAAGAATTTGCGAATATCTATAGACCTCTGATGGCGGGTCGACGTAGAAATATTCTTCGCAATATTTTATCCATAGTAATGTATGTATTACCTCCATCCCCCCTTTTAACTTACGCGTCAATCTATATCGTCGGTTTCGAAGCGCAACTCTAAATGGTAACCTAAGACACATGTTACTGCTCGTGTAAATATAAACTATTTAAAAGGGGGGATTTTTAAAAGATTTGTGTTTCAATACCGACGATAGTTCTGCGCCTAAGTTAAAAGGGGGGATGGAGGTAATACATACATTACTATGGATAAAATATTGCGAAGAATATTACTACGTCGACCCACCATCAGAAGTCTATAGATATTTGCAAATTCTCGCAAATACTTTAATACGCGTATATCGCTTTATATAGAATCTCGATTGAATAACTCTTACAGTCGTATAAGGTAGGCTTCCACTACAATGCTTTACTGACGAGTCCAGTAGTGGAAGCTAGAACGAAACGCCATATTTAAGTAATATTCTTCGCAATATATTAAATTAATTTTTCTTCGTTTACCGATGATGGTCATATTAAAGGCCAAATCGTTTTGCTAATAATAATAAAAATTTCGTTTTAATATTCTACGAAATACATTATATTTTTGCAATCTATTCAGCGACACGTGGTATATGCTCATTTTTAATTCCTTTGTAAAATAAATTTTTTTAAACATTTAGGCCCGTATTCAGAAAGCGCTAACAACGATGTAGCGCGCTAACATGCTATAGTTTACGTCACGTATACTATAGAATTTCAGAGATAAAAGCGCGCTTTTATCGATAAAAGTGCGTTCTGAATACGGGCCTTAATTTCTGTTTCGTTTTGTTTTTCCTAAATCGGGGAAACTTTGTTTTGGATTGTTTCTTGTAAAAACATTAAAAAAATGTTTTTTTTAAAAACGAGCACCAAATTAAAGTGCAGTGACAATGAAATGATTTAGTTGCCAAAAACGTAGAAATTAATCCGAATCACGAAGTTAGGCGATTTATGTTGAACTGTTAGATACATATGTATTTCTGTTTAAAACTTACCCAATTGATACCATTCGTTATTTCCTGCATTTATTCGAGCAGAATCCAATGCTTTGCGGATCGCTATTGGAATTACGTAACTCATACAAAGCGGTGCTTCATTGATCGCTGCAAACATATTTTCGGAATTTATTCAATACATCAATGACTAAATATTCTTGATTCTAATATTCTAAATAAAAGTCTAAAAAAAAATTTCCTTTATTTTAATTAATTTGTTTGTTAAATTTTTTAAACAAATTAAATAATATATTTTAATGCATGCTTGTAAATTGATTAAATTTTTATGGATTTGAAATTTTTTCTAACAAAATTTTTACGAATTTTCTAATCATAGGTACAAATGTAGGAAACATCCGAGATTTAAATTTACATTACACAAAGTAATACATTACTTTTTCATATTATACAATATCATAACATAGGAGTATTTTATTACTTTCGTACAATAAAGACCAAAATTGCATATCATATTTAAATTTGAATAAAAATGTTCAGTTCTTACATTTTGAACCGTAGATAGCAATTGCGTCGACTTTGTTATTGCGTAAGTATACACGGAAATCTTCTGGAATATCCCTCACTCCTGGTGCATTATAATTCTATGAAAATAGTCATGCACATTAGAGATAATTTAATTATATATTGCTGAGATAATCTCAAAGAAATGAAGTATTAGAGTCCTGATATTGCGTGTGTGTATCGAAATTTAATAAACTTAACGTACCCATGATTTGTTATTCATTAATATTCCTGTTTCAGGATCGTACACCAGATCTTCAGATGTCCAGAATCCTTTTCCCATCACGAAAGCTCCTTCCACCTGACCGACATCAATTAATGGATTCAAGCTTAGACCACTATCAATCATCAAATCAACCCTCCTAATAATATGCTGACCGGTCAGCACATCGATTTCTATTTCGGCAATGGTAACACCGTAAACAGGGTAAGATTTCATATCTTCCGTTAGTCCAGTAACCAGCCTACAGAAACATATATATATATATGTATAAAAACGGCATGTAATGTGTAATCTTTATTAATTTTGTTGTGCGCTCTCTCTTTCCCTCTCTCTCTCTCTCTCTCTTTCTACTATATAAATACAAAGTTCAAATTTATTTATTGATTGAAATTTTTCCAAAAGCACATGGAAAAAACATATAATATCATTTTTCATTTTATACAATACAATATCATATAAGCAATTTATTACTTTTATACTATAAGAAACAAAATCTTGGATCATATTTAAGTTTGAATAGAAGTGTTCAGATCTTACATTTTGTAAAATCTTCCGTTTAATATTAATTACAGGAAATGATATCAAAATATTTAAACTACATTTTATACAATACCACTACATAAACTAAACAAAAAGCGAAACAAATGTTTTTACCTAATCCCAGACAGCACAAAACATACATTGGACATACAGACTTTGTTTCAATCCGGTCCATGGACTTAGTACGAATGTTTTATAAAAGTACGTTATTCAACTTACAACGTATGTTACATTTACACAGTTAAAAAATGTTTATTACAAAAAATTTTCCAAGTCTGCTCGCGATGTGTTGCTTTCGCTGACTTGCCAAGTGAAGATTTATTTAAGATCGCACGAGGTGGTTTACCTCTAGTAACGCAAAAGTTTACCAAATTAAAGCTTAGTTCATACAGCAAGCAGCAAGCGGTAAGCGTCAAGAAACAATAGCTTGCTGATTGCAGTGATAAGAGTTAAAAATCTTTTGCTTCCAGTGTGCAAGTTTGTTCGAGAGGATTGTTTAAATTTTGTTTAATTGAATAATTAAGTCCAGTTTTAGTCCTTTTCATCCTAAAATGGACATTTTTAAGATGTCCAAAATGGTAATACTAGATGTTTTTTAAATGTTTTTAGAATATCCATGTATCTAATCTGAATGGTTTTAGTATGTCCAAAACGTCCAACATGTATATACGTTTTTAATACATTTTTCAAACATTACTGTGATATCTGGGATGGAATGGAAGTACAATATTTTTGAAAAGATGTTAAAGTGCTTTGTGATATTTTGTGACACAATATGATATATGATTAAATGATACTTACATGTAACGTTCGCACAAATCAATGCCTTCTCGATACGCTTCAAAAATAAGTTTCTCCCACGTCGTTTCTCCCATTTTTTTCTTTATTGGCTCCAGTTTCTTCAAAATTTGTATGCAAGCTTGTTCGGTTGCCTGAAATGAATGTAATTATCGATGTCAAGTTATACGTTATATATACAGGGTAAATGAAAAATACTGAACTGGAATATCTTGAAAAAAAAGCAATTTTGGGAGAAATCTAAACAAAATTTGTAGAGTTTAAAAAGATTTATTTACTGATCATATCTGTTTGACCTTGAGTGGCGTCGTTAAAGTCAGGTAAAGGTCACACCAATTTTTAAAAAAATATTTTTTATTCCAGAATCTCATAGCTGAAGTCAATAGATTTTGGAAAACGCTAGACTAAAGTTTGTTTTCCTTAAGTATTTATAAAGCTAGAAATTTAAATTACCGGCACTACTTATCAGGTCGAATTGACGCGACGACGACTAAACTTCTTAAATGTTTCTCAGGACGTAGATAATATTTGTCAAGATTAAGTACATTACAGTTTTTATTTTTATTTTCACTTAAAGATTTTTAGTACAAAAATAATAAATATTGGACCAATAATGGTTACACAATTTTTACGCAATGTTTTAAATTGGCTCTACACTGTCCAATATTTCGCCAATATTGGATGAAAATTTAATCTGTAATATTGGTAGAATATTGATTTAACATTATTGGTTCAACAATATTGGGGATTCAATTTTACTCAATGTTGTATATTGGCTATACACTGCTTTCCCAATGTATTGTCAATATTCGGTAAAATTTAACCTCCATTATTGTAAGGTAGAAGCATAATCATATTTAACCAATATTAGTTCAACAATATTATTGAAACAATATCGTGGATTCAATTTTTGTTCAAAGTTTTATATTGGCTGTACATTGTTTGTTCAATATTTTGCTAATGATGATGATGATTGACACTTTGTCTCTTCATGTGAAGAATAGGATATCTACAGGACCTTCCACTTTCCGATATCCGAGGCCTATACTAGTTTCTCGAATCCGCAGGTGATTGATCCATAGAATTTTAGGTAAATATCTAGAAAAGGGGAGGCCCCCCCCCGATGATCTTGACCTTGACATATGTTGTCAAGGTCATGACCCTGAGTAACCTCCCGCAGGTTTTAGGTGGCGGTCACTGTCCGTTAAAAAGTTATTAACAAAAAAAGTTTCAAAATTAACGTACCATTTCTCGGAAATTATACATATTAACGTATCATTTCTGCCATATATGTATTATAACAAGTACTATTTTACATCTTCTTCTGTTTAGAAACGTTAAACTTTCCACGCGAAGTAACTCTCACCTCCCCCAACTCCCTGCGAAGGGGCACACGACTTCTACGATTGTACTGTTGCTATGATTGTACTGTCGGGGCAGATCTCTGTCGACGGTGTGGGTGTGTGTGTGTGTGTTCCATTCGTTATATAATGATTATGAGTCTATTACTTGATTTTTAACACACACATACACATACACACACACACACACACGGGCGGGTGAAAGGGGGTGGCCTTCGGCCATCCCCCCGCACCCACACCGTCCACAGAGGTCTGCCCCGACAGTACAATCATAGCAACAGTACAATCGTATAAGTCGTGTGCCCCTTCGCAGGGGGGTGAGGGAGGTGAGAGTTACTTCGCGTGGAAAGTTTAACGTTTCTAAACGGAAGGAGATGTAAAATAGAACTTGTTATAATACATATATGGCAGAAATGATATGTTAATTTTGAAACTTTTTTGTTAATAACTTTTTAACGGACAGCAACCGCCATCTAAAACCTGCGGGAGGTCACTCAGGGTCATGACCTTGACAACATATGTCAAGATCAAGATCATCGGGGGGGGCTCCCCTTTTCTAGATATTAACTGAATCTTATCTTAGTCAGAGACAGCAGAAACTTTTATCTATTGACCTACGTATATACAGCACCTACAATTTAACACCGAAATAAAACGACGCTGATGATCATAGACCTTTTGATTACCAGGTGGAGCCTTTTTCGACTCCTAAAAATGTGAAAAGATCGCGTTCGGGCTCAGGTGGGATTAAACTTGAGTCTGCAGATCGCAAATTAATCGCACAAAGCGATGAACCACTCGACGCCTACCGCTTTAGACGGGGAGCACGGACTCTTATAAAACGCATAACACATAAGTTATAAGAAATTTAAATAATCAGAATTCTTTACTTCATAGAAAGAAAGGAAACGAATGATTTTAAATGGTACATATTCTCCATTGGCATCATTATATAACCAATATTGGTATTACATTGGGAAATATTGGCGAACTTATGCCCAATATAAACAACGTTTGGTCAATTTTAGTAAATGTATAGCCAAAATTTTCTGTGCTACTAGGATCTTGACATCAGGTGTTATAATAAATTCTAAAATAAAATACTGTTGTTCCATTTTGATGTGACCTTGGTCTAGCCTCAGCAGCATTACCCAAAATCAAACGATTATATGACCAGTAAGTAAATCTTCTAAATCCTGCAACTCTTGTCTAACCTATTTTAAAAAATTTCTTGTTTTCAAGACATTTTCTGATCCAAGACCTTCCATTCTCGATGTGCATGTTGCTGTATGTATATAATAGGATTATAACATTGTCTTTATAGTGATAGAGACGAATTAAATTCTTACGTATCCGCAGTTTTCCGTGGTAATGCTGTGTCCTGTAGTTGACGTGTTGGGTGCCGTTAAATTACTGCTTGGATTAATGGTGATTTTGTGAATATCGATTTTTAATGTACGAGCTGCTACTTGAGCAATCTGGTATACAAGAATTATTTGTCTTACATACTAAATTGAATTTTTCGTAAATTTAATAAGGTTAAAAAATAATTAATTTGTATTAAAAATAAAAAATGTTAAAACCATAGGAATGTCAAGAAACAACGTTTTCTATTAAAATTTTATGAAATTATAAAAACTCATATTTTCAAAAGAACAGAATTATAAAAAGTAATTTTTATTAGTTTATTAATAATTAAATAAAAAGTATGAAATCACTTGATTAGATACAATCCAATGCATCATCGTACCTTCGTATGTATACCTTGATCGATTTCAATACCGCTATGTGTCACGCATACCGTACCATCGCGAGCGCATATCGACACCATTGCGTTGTATTGTCCTTTATCATATGTTATCAAGTATTTCATTGGTACCAGAGCAATTCCCTTTTTCTTCCAACGATTGATTCCATTGAAGTGCTGAATATCCTCCATGATCTTCAAATAATTGGATTTTGCCATCAAATCATCAATCATATCTGTTAAAACAGGTTTATCCACATTATTCATGTTTTCCAATCTGACTTTTACAGAATCTTTTTGTGTCACTTTTGCAATATGCTCCATTATATTTTCGATCATAGCCACGGCTTCCGTAGATCCTGACGCCCGACAAAACGTGTTTGACGGTAAGTCCGTTCTCACGTCGAATCCAATCAACGTCCAAGTATCGGTTAAATAGCAGCTCCTAACAATAAAAGTTGACTTACTTAATTATTGAATATCATTTTATAATTGCTAATTAAAATAATTTGTTTTATTTGCATTAGCATTATGATATTTTCCCTTTCTGTGAAATATTATTCAAAACTTTGTTCAAAGTAGAATAAAAATGGATTAACTTATCCTAATATATGTCTACATAAAAAAATTTGCCACTTAATTTTAACATATTGTGCACAGGAAGTGCAATGGATAGATTTTGACATTAGACAGAAGTACTTTAATATAAACAGGGTTTCCCATAATTCACCTGATGAATATCGTGGATAGATAAAGCAGACTAAACTGAGACGGAAAGTCCACCGCGCACACCGCCGCAAACCACCAAAACGTCATGACTCAAACGGCGCGCTTGGTAGGCCGTTCTGCTGCTTCCACGTTGGACGCACATATTCGGTAATCTTTAAACTTTTGCTGAAATCGCAAAATGGTACGGGACTTTTCTACTCAATATAGTCTATTTTATCTACGCACGAAATATTTTGTGGTTATAACACCAGTAGTGTAGTCCTAAAAGAAAAACTCTGGCGGATGCTTCGAATATAGTTGCCAGGATCTCCAAACACCAATCCGAACGAAGTATCAAAAAGAAAGAAAACTACAATTGCGTCGTGAGGTTCACCATATAGATTAGTTAAAATTGCGGTGTTATCAAAAGGTTACAGTTGTGAATTATGATGTCGCACATCTGTATACGTAAATGCTTGATTCGAACATTACAAGAGATTTTTTACTTCTTTTTCTTTATTTATATTAGAACTCGATCTTCTTTCCCATATATTTGAAAATCACGTAAATATGCGTATACGGTATATGTACAGCATTATGGAAGGAATAGCTGGATAGGAGTGAGTATATAGTCATGCAATGCGCGATCGAAATTAATTGATCTGCAAACCATTCTTTTAGATAAAGTCTATGATCCGTATTTAGAACAAGTTTTTATCTCTGAAATTCTATAGTATGCGTAACGTAAACTATAGCGCTAACATCGTTGTAAGTGCGTTCAGAATACAGGCCTACATATGTTATGTACTATGATTTGATGTTTGGTTATCTATGCTATCGCCATGATGTCAAAATTCAGATTTTATTAAATCTTTAAATGCTTCTTTTTCTGTTTGTACCGACTTATTACATGAAATAAAAAAATTAGCTTAAATAATTATATAGAAAGAATCTTGGCTCTGCACCGCCAGGTTTGGCTTTCCGAAAAAAGTACCCTGGCGCCGCCAGGTTCAATCAGAGTTTGACTATACGCCACTGCCTCTGTCTCTCTCTCTGTTACGCAGTATATATACATTTAACATGATATTCTTATAAAATAATATATTACATATATTTTTTTATTTGCTCTGCATTATGTGTTCTGATACCTTTGCATGTAAGAAGCTACCATAGCAGCCTGTGATTCATTGAAACTAGACCCACAGTTGCTCCAATGTCTCGAGTCGAGATATTGTATAACTCCATTGTTGTTCACCCCAATCTCATATTCTTGTCGCGCAGAACATCTTTTGCCTATCGATTGCATATTGCTCTCTATCGTCGTGACGAATCGCGCTGGACGATTCAGTTTATGACATACCAATGCGCAAGCACATGAAATTTGCGCGTTGCGTGAGATTTTTGATCCATACGATCCACCAAGTCGATTGACATGCACATTGATGCTAAAAAAAATTACATTCACGCAATTTATGCTAAGTTTATTTTTTGCATTTGCTAATATTATTTTGAAATACTTATTATATTACCTACTTAATTTATTTCATTCTATAAGAAAAAGGAAATGTGATTTAGTTTTTATTTTATAAAGGAAAAAATAATCGCCATTAAGAGCCGACATAAGTTAGAAGTATGTAAATTTAATTTAGTGTAATAAAATTCAATAATACATATAAACGTTTCAACCCTATATTCGGGTCCTTTTCAATATAAGTGACAATATTAAAATCTTAATCACTATATATTTTAACTATATATTTTAATTTTGAACGAGTAATATCTTACATATAAATTAAACATTTTTCATTTCACTGAGCAGTCCAATGAAGCTTCACAATAATTGCATATAGTATTATTATTAACACTATCAATTCTTGACAGTCATTTAAATTAGCATTTATATGAACAAGAATTGATGTATGACATCTTCATGTATTTCGATTAAGATTTTAATATTGTTACTAATATTGAAAAGGATCCGAATATAGGGTTGAAACGTTTATATATTATTGAATTTTATTATATTATTTAAATTGAGTTTACATACTTCTAACTTATGTCGGCTCTTAATGGCGATTATATTTTCCTTTATTGATTTATTCACGTGAGCCTTATAAATTATTTTGTATTATTTTATATTTTATATTGTATATATGTGTATACGTATATACATATACGATATGTATAGGGATGTAACGAAAGTGGTTATAGCGAAAGCGAATGCGAAAACGAAAGAAAAAAAATTTTTTTGCGAATGCGAAAGATCTTTTTTTTCTGCTGAATGATTAAATCAGCCACAATTAAATACTTTAATTTCAAAAAAAAAAAACGATTTAATAAAATATTATTAATGTCATTTCTACCTGTTTTCTTTGCTGGAATATTGACGCTTTCCCTGATTCTAGTTTTATCATTCGCATTAATAGCATCCTCAATACTTATTACCGGATTTTTCTCATGTGTGTTATATATAATTTGTACCAAATCCGCAGCCTCATTCGCTAAATTATGCGTTTCCGCGACTATTACGCCGACCGGTTGACCGGCGTACAAAACATCCTTTTCAGCGAACAGCAATTCGTCCTCTGGCAAGGACGTCAACTTACTGGCGGCAGAAATGCACAAATTCCGTCCCGGTACATCATCGACACTGAAGAACGCTATTACGCCCTTCATTTTAAGCACCTCGCTTGCATCTGTACTTTTGATCCTGCCTTTACAGATTTTGGTAACAACGAAAGCGCAAAATACTTCTCCATGATACGGACCCAGATCATTGCAATATCGGACTTCACCTGCTGCCTGTTCATAAGCTTCTAACTTTGGTATAGGCTCACTCACTGGCCACTCGTCGAAATTCCTATCGTAATTTTGCTTACCTAAAAAATTATGTTCATTTTGGATGCATAACTTTGGACAATCAAAAGAAATATATTACGAGCAGTTTTTATTGATTTATACATAAATCAATATAAGACAGCCTTAATTCAATACTTCTATATAATTTTAATATCAACAATATCATTAAGAAAGTTTTAAAATAAAAATAGGAAAGGCTTGTTCTGTACTAATAATAAATTTAGTATATAATAAGTGCGACTACATATGAGCTTCAGTCAAAGTAAAAGATATTGAATTGTAATATATGTACGTATGTATAAAAAGATTAGGGTACGATTCGGAAACAACCGGAATGTACTTGCTAATGATGTTTACTGCAAACATATTTATTCTGGATTTAAATTGTCTTCTGCAAATAATTTATATACAACTTTCGTATTGAAAAGGTTTTAAATCTCTATTGAGAACGTTACGTTGTTCATAAATTCATTCCAATTGCTTGCGAAATTTATATCTTTTTAGTTACTGTCTTATAAATATATCATCATGTATATCAATGGCAAAGATTTATTTATATTTTTATAATAGAAATATAAAAAAGAATATTATAGACACCATTTTATTATAAGTACCTGAAGAGATACTTCGTTTTAATGTAGTGCCTCCACTACGATAAAAAGGTTTTATCTCCGGTTTGATGCTTAACATGAACCTGTAAAATAATCCTATGGCAAGAATCTTGCGAAATTCTGGTGAGTAATTCGGGAGCATATGATCAGGTTGTAGCTCCACAGATAACATTTGTAACAGTGACTTTAAGTCTTGCTGGTCAAACATTTTTTTATCCAACGATAGAACCTCCGTGCGATTTGCGTGATAAAAATCTTTATTAATGCCACCAAAGATAATGTCAGGTAATTCCAACACCTTATCGAAAAATGTTATAAATGTAAACAATTGATACTTGAAGAATTAGAATGTGAGTAACTAGTTAATGATAACGTAATATAAACAATTTAAAAAATTTTGTTACGTTGCCGTCGGTATCGATTTTAAAGAGAAAGCCAGCGTTGACATGAGCGCGAGCATTTTGGGCTCTAGGCATGACCTTATAGAATCTATATATGTGCTGATCAGTAAGATTTGGTAATACAATGCTATAAATGAGTTTATGGTGCATGTCGAGCTTCAGAAATTTCCACAGATATAAACTTTGCTTCTGAGAGGGACTTTCCAGGATGTGTACCTGAGTACCGAGAGTCTGTAACATCAAAAACAAATCGGATGGGAACTCTCTGTGCTCGTGTTTTAACATTAAATTCCCCGCTATGGTGCCAATATTTCGTACGGGAACATTTGCGATCAGTTTCATGTACTTGTTCAATTGACGTAGATATTTAAATCCGCTTTCATTTGAATATTTCTGGAATGCCTGTATTGCCATGGTAAGGGTTACATTTCCTCCTAGTACCAAAGTCGAATCAGTTTTTGTAATGTTACTCATGTCTGGAATATTGTTTATATCAATGTACATATTTTTCTTGCTCGAACGATAAATACCTGAAAATTAAATTTTCACATTGTTATATATCTATATCTAAACTATACGTGGTTCAAAATAAACGAAAGACGATGGTAGATCATTCAACCATACACGCAAGATAGAAATAGCGAATATGTCTTGTAATTTAAACAATTTATTCGCGTTACTTGATACACCAAACGGCCTTCAATATGGCCATCAGTGGTATTTACAAATAAAAAATTATCAAAATATAAAATTAATAGTACATTGTGTAACAGTGGGGGATATTTATTTATAACGCGCGACCGTGTCGACCTATAAACAAATATGCCCCCACTCGCTACACATAGAATTTGTCATTACAAGTGTTCGTCGTAATGTGCCCTATACAGCAACGTTTTTACGCAGAAGAGTGGAATTAGAGAAATAACTGAACGGTTTGAGGTATTGACTATTTACCACACGCAAAAGCGTTAAGATGTAGGGCACATTACGTGCACGCGTGATGAAAAACTAATAACTACATTTGTCATTGTCATAAATTAAAACGATTGTGTACGTGTTGTTTTGTTGTCGATTATATTGTTACATTCGATCCGAATTATAATATGAAGATTCAATTTTGATCTTTGTAATAATAATACTAGATAATCAAATAAAGTAAGTGTTAATCTAATTGTATTGTGATTGATTCTTATGTGATTATTCAAGCCAATTAATAGATTTTCTTATTTAGATCTTCATGGATGAACAAGTTGTAGTTTCCAAAACTAAATCGCTTTATTCCATGATGATTATGTATCGCTAGTTTTCTTACAAATACAATCGCTCTCAATCGTCCTTCGGAGATTTTCATTTTATGTATAACATAGATACTTAAAACCTCATCGCGCGCGAACCAAATACCGCACTATGCTGGAGCGACATTTGATCTGTGCGCAGACGATAAGATGAGTGGGATAGCGGAAGGCGGAGACGATTCGAAAATCGGTCGAAAGTTGCATACACACTTTATGTAAGTTCACTTTGTACTGGCACCTTTTTTAATAATGTGTTAGTTACCTTTTATGTGGTAATATGTTATTATTAGATAGAAAGATTTAAATTTTTGAGTTAATCTAATATAGAAAAATTACCATGTGCAGTATTTCCTCCATTCAATATATACGTTGCCTGTGGATTGCTTTTTAATAACTCAAATAGAGCCTCGACTGTAGTAACTTTGTAAAAGCACGCGTCCTCTAATTTTATGCTCAAAATTTTGATTCCATCAGAATGCTGCTTATCGTAGTAAGTACGTACACATGGCATTTTGTGGGGATACAAACGGGGATACAAATTTTGCCGGGGATGGCAAACTTTAATCTTATATAACTCCTGTAAAGAATATTTTATTATATTTACATTCAGATAGGAACAATGCAATTAGTGTTGTAGTAAAGTTAAATGGTCCTTGTTGTAATAATAAAGTTAAATATTTTTGTAAACATAAATAAAATAAAATTGAAACAAACATAATTTATGATAAAGATTAAACTTCGAAATAAAAAGAAAAATTTTTTCACAATTACCTCAATGTCGTGAACGGCCTTCGATTCCATTGAAACAGCATCGATGGCAAATGTCTTAAAAGCCTTCAAAATTGCGCGATATCCAGTGCATCGACAAATGTTGCCACCAAATGATTTTTCAATCTGCTTCTTAGACATACCTTCTTGTAACCCGAGACTGCAAAGTATAAAAAACAAATACATTATTGCAGAGTTGTTACTTTACAAACATTTAGTATTATCCTTAATTAAATATTATTTTTACTTGAACTAAGCGTATGTAGCAATTCTCTACGACTTTATTCGTTACATTAATTTGCAATTAGTGTGTTCATAATTGGACAATTGTTAGTTACAAGAATGCATTTATTAATATATTTTTATAAACATTAATTTTTCTTAAAGATATTTTATTATATGTGAATTTGTTCTACGCCTGACAATTCCGAAAGAATTTTATCATAAAGGGAGGAAAGTATAAAAATATATATTTAATAACACATTCTTTTAACAATACAACTTAATTAACTATTTTAATATTTTGTACCTATACAAATTCATCACCATGCCAGGTGAGCAATATCCACATTGCGAACCATTCCATTTAGCAAGCTCAGTTTGAATCTTATGATAACCGTCTAACTTGTTTCCTATACCTTCAATCGTATAAATATCCCATCTGTGACATAATATTGAATGAAAGAATAGTTAATATTAATATATTTTCTCGGTATACTCAGAAATTAAGAAATTAGCATAAAATATAAATTAAATATACATGAATTTAAAGAAAAAAATTTGAACGTTTAGATATGATGAATTTTTTGTACCGCAGATTATAGCTTCGCATGTAACGTTATTACGAAAATTCATAACACTTTCTTAGAAATTAAGATGGATTGTTTATTTTCTCTTTAATAAGTACATACATACCCGTCACAAATCAGTACTGGTACAAGACATGAATTCACAGCTATACTTTTGTTCTTGAAGTTTACATTTACGATACAGGCACCGCAATCCCCTTCATAACACATCGCTTTAGTGCCTCGAAGTTCCGCATATTCGCGGATAAAGACGAGTAGAGACGTGTCAGCGGGTATACTGTTACTGAATACTGGAAACGGTTTTACAATTTTATAATAACGACTCGTAAAATTTTTTCTTAACGTACATATTATTTTTTATTTCTAAAGTTTACAATTACAGTTAAAGCTTCATAATTATGTTTTATGATTTTGCTGCATGTTATTTATATGATTAACTCTTGTATTGAATGTTATCTTACCATTAAACCATACGATAAAATTTCTGTGATTAAATTTAATACCATATTTAAACTGATTTCTTTAACTTGCTTCGATGTTACTTTGACTTTAAATGATACAATAACAAATTTTCATTTCCTTAGTTACACACTGATTACAAACAATACGTACTTGAATATTGTGCTCCATTAATTAGAAAGTTTACACTATTGTCGCCAGATCTAAATATGTTAGATTAGGAATCATGTTAACATTATATTTAATAAAAAAGGTATATAGATGAAATTTTTTTTTCTAGTTTTATGTTTGTATATATATAAATATATAAATAAATAAAGAACAACAAAATATTTAAAACCATGGAAATTGGACTACGATTCTAAGCTAGAATGTAAGATATGCTTTATAATATAAACAAATGTAAAATACAAAAGTTACAAACGTTTTTACCCTTATCGGGTCATCATCAGTTCATCACTGTAAGTTAAAAGTATAATACGATAAACGTTATATATAAATATTTATAACGTTATATAAGTTATTATAAGTATAATACATGATAAACAAAATGTAAAATACAAAAGTCACAAACGCAGAAACGTTTTTATTTAACTTTTGTATTTTGACTTTTGTAACTTTTGTATTTTACATTTTGTTTATATTAAAGGGCATCTTATATCCTAGCTTAGAATCGTAGCCTATTCAATTTCTATTATTATTAATTATTAAGTCTAATTATTATTTATAATTTTCAAAATATTTTGTGTTGAAATTAATGATTTAGAAACTCTAAAATATTATTAATGAAATTTCATGTTAACTTTTTATCGCATCTATATTTTAATAGCTTTCGCATGTTACAGTTTTCTGTCATGGACTTACATTTTTGCTATTTCCATCTTTATTCGTTGATCGTATCAAATTATGAATAACTACCCTTCGTTTCAAGGTACTTATAAAAACGCTGTCTACACAGGACAGAAATAGAATAGGGTCTAAAATTCGGAAAATAGTGATTGTTAGATACTGTGTAATTTTTTTACTAATAACGAACACTTTTCACACGGCAATACAAGATACGAAAGTGAATTGTTGAAAAAAATTGTTTGTAATACTTTTAAAAGAACTACAACTTTTAATGTTAATGTACTTACATTTATAAAAATATGAGCGTAATAAGTATTAGATATATATATTATAATAAATATTGTAATATAAATTTGCATATTGTTACAGAAAAATTTCAATGAAGAGTTGTTTTGCATAAAATCGATTGGTAAATAAAGAAGAACATTTTCAACAAATATTCTGTGAATATATATGTATAATACTTTTTATACCAAATGTATCATGATATCCTGAATGAGTATAATGTTAGAAACGAATTCAAATCATAAATTTAATATAAAGTGTTCACGTAGAAATTTATTTTAACTAACCTTATCTTTTTGTAACAGACGTTTTCATGCGTATTTCAGTATTTCTCGTTACCATTTCATCGGACAGGTTAAAGCATCTTCAAGTTTACGCGTCTTCTTACTGACTGTCAGTAAATACTTTCTCTGGACATATCAAATAAATACGCTAGTTTGAACACCAGTCTTTGCAATAATGTACGATGCCGTCTGTTACCGTAATTATAAACAGTGTCAAATAGGACAGATGGATTTGTTGTGTCTTTAATTTATTTCGTATATAAACTCTCGGAGAGACACGAGCATTAGGAGTCAAGTGCGCTCTCTCTCTCTCTCTCTCTCTCTCTCTCTCTCTCTCTCTCTCTCTCTAATATACATACATCAAACAAAACTTCTTTGTTATAATAATTATGTTTTTATACTTGTTATGCCGTTGCATAATTATTATAATAAAGAAGTTTTGTTTGATATATGTCAGCATTTTTTGCGTAAAGTTATTATCTGCGCTTGACTCCTAGTGCCTCCTATTTTTAAATTATTAACGTTTTAATTTGATTGGGGTTTTTTGTGCGGCTGAGGATGACTTTGTAAAGTCGAAACGTTCTGTGTTAATTTTATCGATTGTAATAAATTTATTTAATAATAACAACAAATATAGCTCATTATTTGTTTGACCTGGGAGGTATATTTAACTTTTATAATTTTGATTTTATATGAGCTGAAAATATTTATTAATTTTTAAATTATTAATTTTTGTCGGTGGAAATCCATTTAAGGGCATTTAACTTCATTTGACTTCATTTGGTGTATTTCTGCCAAATTTTATGAAAATCGGGCTTTGGCCATTTTCAGAAGTTTATCCCTGTTTCGATATTATGTTTTTTGTATTTATTCACTTACATAATATTTGTGTAATCTTCTAATATTGTGATAAATTTATTCAAAATTTTGAGTGGATTGTTTTCGACATGCGGTTTATGTTAAATTTGATACATTTTGTTCTAATTGTGTATAGGTTCCATTTCACGCGTGTATGATACATCATTTTATTATTGTTGTCCACCGAATATTAAAGAAAGATAAAATGATACAACATTCGCATAATATGTGTAAGAGAACACAGCACATAAGTGTAAACTGTAACACAATGTTAAAAAAGGCATCAGGATTATGTGATTAAAATAGCTAATCAAGCCTCTACTTTTAACGATACACCTTTGTCTCCTCTAGTTACGACTAAAACTTTTACGTGGCTAGAAATAAAGTAACGATAGAAATAACTAGTGAAATCGGTATCATTATCTCAAAATTGTAGCTACGTTTGTATGAACGTTACTCTGCAGAAAATGGAACGTCATTATCTATTTGTTACCGAGAAAAATAATTTATAACGATATCGACGATACAAATAACACGTTACTTATACCAGCTACGTTAAAAATATTATTATTATGTCATTACTTCTTATATGAATTGTTACTGAAAATTTTCATGGACTGTATCTTTTTTGTGGTCATTCATGAACGTCTTATAATATTATTTTAGATAAACTTTATATTAAGTAAAACATTAAAAATTAAAAAAATGTATATTATTCTTTAGAATCCTCGTAATTATTGTGATCGGTAAGATCCGTTGAACGTTGTGATCCCCTGCTTTTTCCTGTAATACTATTTTATAAGTATGCGTATGTATTCTAACTTATGCCTAAATTCTAAACAGAGAATCGCAAGATTTATAATATATTCTCGTAAAACTTATAATAATTTTTAAGTACAAACATTACTTTTTTCTCGAAAAAAAATTATTTAAAGCACTTATTAATCATGAACCAGAAAGAGCTCGACCAATGTAAGGATTGCTTTTTGCTTATAGTGTACTTTTATCATGTTATTATATTATTTTGTTACATTAAATATCGATATTAAGTAATAAAATATGACTGTTAATTAATTTTACGTACAAGAAGCTTGGCAGCATTTAATTAATTGATACAACGTTTCCAAACGTGTTTCGTAATTTCAATGTTAAATATTTATAATCTTTAGAAGTACAAATACCATAATTAATTTAAATAGAAAAAATATCATTGAACATGTTACTAGTTACTACCTTAAAGCGATATGAAGCACGTAACATAATTTCATTATAATATACAAATACGATGTATAATAATTCAAAATTGTTTAAGGATTGAAACTCATGACGCTCTCTGTTACAACATTGTCTATCAAGAACTCCAAACTTATATGTATACAACGACATGAGTTTTTTAAATTTTATGATCAACTTATCTTATCTTTTAATGAAATGTGAGTTTCCTGATGATTTTCGAGAAACTAACTTAGCACTCAATGTCTAACTAGCTCGAATACGTTTTCACATGTTAGCATATTAGGGTTAAAGGAATTTAATGAAGATAGTGTAAATGAGAAAACTTACATTAGCGATTTAAAGACATTTATTTAAACGAATCATTATAATTCAATTGTTACTATAAAAGTTCTTGTATATTAACAAAACATGAATACTTCAATTAAATTTAATTGAGAAAATTTTTTAATTATTCTACTTAGACAGAGAGAGAGCAATTAAAAGGTTAGCCAAACACAAAATTTATTTCAAACACCGGCTTCGTTGTGAACAATTCCTAAATTTCTTCACTCGTAAACCATCATGTCTACTTTAGTTAAAGTATTTAGAAGTATACGTTCGGTAGTACACGGTCCATCTATAAACATAACGAAATATATTTTAAAGTATCTTAAATATTATTTTACTAATATTTTGGTATTTTATAAGAAACTACATATCTTATATACAGGTTAAATACATGAATTTTCGAATTTAATAATGTAAAACATTTTCAGTTTTTAACAACAAAATTTAAATAATTGTGTCCAACTATAAGTCGTGAATACTGTGAACTGTGATTAATATGAAGAATGTTATTGATATAACAATTCTGAAAAATGATTAAAAGAAAACGAGACTTTAAAAAACAACCCTTTAATTGTGGCTTTATTAATTTAGTTTCAAAGAGAATCATGGAGCAAAAAAGTTGATTTAAACGAGGATATTAACCTGAAAGTAAGTTTCCCTTCTTACAGAAAATAGAAAAACAATTATTAAAATTAGAAAAAAATCTTAATCTATTACAAGTTGGTTACTTACATTGTGTAAAAAAATTGAAATTTATTCAATGTATTTGTACTGCAAAAAAAATCTAATCTTGTGAGTCACGGTGTGTCCACTCTTCGCGAACCATTTACGATTAAATAAAAAATGAGTTTTTTTTTTCATTTAAAGAGCAACTCTGAAATACGTTCAGAACGTCACCTTCTGTGTCTCCGTATATCATTTTATTCATGTCGTTTACAAACTTGAGCAAGAATAAGTTGATACGTTCAATCAATCGGGTAACGCATCCGAACACGACCCTGAGTGATTTTTCGAGCTTTACAAAAACTCTCTGTATTCTCCGAATCTTGCTTCAAGCAACTATCATTTTTTTCTCTATTTGAAACTCTATAAATCTGGCAAATTAATATTAACCAGGAAGTAAAAACGGCGGTTTGCTAAAATTGGTACCCCTTGGTGCATACAGGTGTAGAAAAACATATTCAGGATGCAATATCATCATGATAAATGAAAAAAATTGCGTTTATACAAAAAAATATTCATAGTGCAATAAGTTGAAATTAAATTTTTTTAGATATTTAATTACTGTTTTTTTTGTTTCTCCTAGATTGGGGAAACTTTGTTTTGGATTGTATCTCGTAAAAATATTTAAAAAATGTTTTCTTTTTAATACGAGCACCGAATTAAAGTGCAGTGACAATGAAATGATTAGTTGCCCAAAACGTAGAAATTAATCCGAATCATGAAGTTTGGCGATTAATGTTGAATTGTTAGAGGATACAAATGTATTTCTATTTAAAACTTACCTAATTGATACCATTTGTAATTTCCTGCATCTATTCGAGCAGATTCCAATGCTTTGCGGATCGCTATTGGAATTACGTAACTCATACAAAGCGGTGCTTCATTGATCGCTGCAAACATATATATTCGGTATTAATACAATACATCATTGGTTAAATATTCCTGATTCTAATATTCTAAATAAAATAAATATTTAAAATAAGAACTTTCTTTTTATTTTAATTAAAATTCGTTTGTTATATTTTTTAAACAAATTAAATAATGTTTTGAAACGCATACTTGTAAATCGATAAAATTTTTGTTTATACGAAATTTTTTCTAAAAAAAATTTTTACGTACTTTTAATCATAAATACAAAAAATGTAGGAAACATCCGAGATTTAAATTTACATCATACAAAGTAATAAATTAGTTTTTCATATTATACAATATCATATCATAAGAGTATTTTATTACTTTTGTACTATAAAGACCAAAAAGTAATCTCGGATCATATTTAAATTTGAATAAAAATGTTCTTACATTTTGAACCGTAGATAGCCTTATTGCGTAAGTATACATGAAAAACTTCAGGAATATCCTTCGCGCCTGGTGCATTATAATTCTATGAAAATATTCATGTACACTTTAGAGTTAATTTAATTATATAATTTTTAGATAATCTCAGTGAATTGAAGTAGTAGAGTTCTGGTGATATATTGCGTATATCGAAATTTAATAAACTTAACATACCCATGATTTGTTATTCATTAATATTCCTGTTTTAGGATCATACACCAGATCTTCAGAAGTCCAGAATCCTATTCCCATCACGAAAGCTCCCTCCGTCTGACCGACATCAATTAGTGGATTCAAGCTTAGACCAGTATCAATCATCAAATAAACTCTTCTAATAACATGCTGACCGGTCAGCACATCGATTTCTATTTCGGCAATGGTAACACCGTAAACAGGGTAAGATTTCTTGTCTTCCATGGGTCCATTGACCAGCCTACAGAGACATATATATATTAATAACTTTGTTGTAACGCGCTCGCTCTCTCTCTCTCTCTCTCTCTCTCCCCCCCTCCCCCCTTCCCTCTCTCTCTCTCTCTTTCCACTATATAAATTTGAAGTTCAAATTTATTTATTGATCGAAATTTTTCCAAAAGCACAAGGAAAAACAATATCATTTTTCATTTTATACAATATAATATTATATAAGCAATTTATTACATTTGTATGTACTATGAAAAACAAAATCTTGGATCATATTTAAGTTTGATTAGAAGTTCAAATCTTACATTTTGTAAAATCCTACATTTAATATTAATTATAGGAAATGCCAACGGAATATTTAAACTACATTTTATACAATACTACTATATACTAAAAAAAAGGCGAAACAAATGTTTCTTCCTAATCCCAGACAGCACAAAACGTCTATTGCGGACATCCAGACTTGGTTTTAATCTGGTCCAAACGTCTATGGACTTAATACGAATATTTTATAAATGTACGTTATTCAACGTACAACGCATGTTTACAATTAGACAGTTAAAAAATGTTCATTACGAAAAAAATTTTCTAAGTCTGCTCGTGATGTGATGCTTTCGCTGACTTGCCAAGTGAAGATGGTTTAACTTCAGTAACGCAAAAGTTTAACAAATTAAAGCTTAGTTCATACAGCACGCAGCAAGCGGTAAGCGTCAACCAACTGTTGAGATGTAATTTTATAAGTTAATGTTAATGTAAGTTTACAGGTGTTTGTGAATTGAATCTATTGCCGAGGAATGATTTTATCGATTATTATATTTTCATGTTGTTTTTTGTCTTGCTGCTGTTTTCCGTCTTCCCGAGTCGTCTTTGTCTTTTGAGGTTTAACCTTTTTCGCTTCTCTATGTTCGATGATTAATAAAGTGCTTTTATTGTATTAATATAAAATCTGAGTGATTTAAATATAGTAGATATCAAACACCAACAATAGCTTGCTGCTTGCAGTGATAAGAGTTAAAAATCATTCGCATCCAGCGTGCAAGTTTGTCCGAGGGGATTTTTTAATTTTGTTTAATATATTAATTTAGACCGGCTTTAGTCCAGTTTTAGTCCATTGCATCCTAAAATGGACGTTTTTAAAAGTTCAAAATGGTAATACTAGATGTTCTTAAAAGGTTTTTAGAATACCCATGGATCTAATCTGGATGGTTTTAATATATCCAAAACGTCCAACATGTACAATTTAAATAAATTTTTGAAACATTACTGTGATGTCTGGGATGGTAGTATGATATTTTCGGAAATATCTTAAAGTGCTTTGTGATATTTTGTGACACAATATGATATATCACTATCATATATGATTAAATGATATTTACATGTAACGTTCGCACAAATCAATGCCTTCTCGATACGCTTCAAAAATAAGTTTCTCCCACGTCGTTTCTCCCATTTTTTTCTTTATTGGCTCGAGTTTCTCCAAAATTTGTATGCAAGCTTGTTCCGTTGCCTGAAATAAATGTAATAATCGATGTCAAGTTATACGTTATATATACAGGGTAAATGAAAAATGCTGAACTGGAATATCTTGAAAACAAAGCACTTTTGGGAGAAATCTAAACAAAATTTGTAGAGTTTAAAAAGATTTATATACTGATCATATCTGTTTGACCTTGAGTGGTGTCGTCAAAGAGGTAAAAGTCGCATCAATTTTTTTGAAAATTGGATACCCTATTTTTTATTCCTGAATCTCATAGCTGATGTCAATAGTTTTTGGAAAACGCTAGACTATAAAGTTTGTTTTCCTTAAGTATTTATAAAGTTTGAAATTTAAATTACCGTCAGCACTACTTATGAGGTCGAATTGACGCGACGACGACTAAACCTCTTAAATGTTTCTCGAGACCATGCGCAATATTGAGAAATAAATTAACAGCCAATAATAAACATTCAATAAGGTTTGCACATCCAATATGGGTCCAATATTGTAAGGTAGACGCCTAGTCGTACTTAACCAATATTGGTTCAACAATATTGGACCAATATCGGATACACAATTTTTACCCAACGTTTTAAATTCGCTGTACACTGTCCAATATTTCGCCAATGTTGGGTGAATATTTAATCTGTCATATTGGTCCAATATTGATTAAACAATATTGGTTCAACTATATTGGGGATTCAATTTTACTCAATGTTGTATATTGGCTATACACTGCTTTTCCAATGTTTTGTCAATATTCGGTAAAATTTAACCTCCAATATTGTCCGGTAGACGCATAATCATATTTAACCAATATTAGTTCAACAATATTATTGAAACAATATCGTGGATTCAATTTTTGTTCAATGTTTTATATTGGCTGTACATTGTTTGTTCAATATTTTGCTAATGATGATGATGATTAACACTTTGTCTCTTCATGTGAAGTATAGAACATCTACAGGTCCTTTCACTTTCCGTTATCCGAGGCCTATATTCTTTTCTCGAATCTGCAGGTGATTGATCCACAGAATCTTATCTTAGTCAAACATCAGAAACATATGTCTATTGACCTACGTATATATAGGACCTACAATTTAACGCCGAAGTCAAACTGCGCTGATGATTATAGGTCTTTTGATTATCAGGTGGAGCCATTTTCGACTTCTTTAAATGCGAAAAAATTGCGTTTGTGCGCAGGAGGGATTAAACTCGAGTCTACAGATCGCGAATTAATCGCACCGAGCGGTGAACCTCTCGACGTCTTCCAGTTTAGACGGGGAGCACGGACTCTTCTAGAACGCATAACATATAAGGCATAAGAAATTTAAATAATCAGAATTCTTTATTTCATATAGAAAGAAAGGAAACGGAATTTTAAGTGGTACGTATTCTCCATTGGCATTCATTATATAACAAATATTGGCATTATATTGGGAAATATTGGCCAACTTATGCCCTTTTTTTTTGTTTTTTTTTTTTGTAAGGCAGGGGAAATGCGTTTACGCATACCCGACCAAGACGGGAATCCCGGTCGGGTTATGCGGGACTCGCCTACCTCGGAGAACCAAGGTGTGAATACCCGCTAAAACCCCTGCCAGTGTCCTTCTTCGGCGTCGTTGGTGGGGACGCCCTGGGCACGCGTGAAGCATTCTTCCAGGACGCCCCCCGACCCAACGGCTCACGCCGTCTCATCCTCAATTGGGGTTCCTCTCCTATGGCGAGAGGAACCTCAGACCTCACCGACGGGCGGGAGGGGACACCAGTCTCATGCCCGAATACCCACGAGGGTGAATATCACCGGGAGCGGGGTTCCCGCTCCGCTTCCGCCTCTCTCAAGCCAACTTATTCCCGATATAACCAATGTTTTGTCAATTTTAGCCAATTTATAGCCAAAATATTCTATGCTACTAGAATCTTGACATCAGGTGTTATAATAGATTCTGAAATAAGATACAGGTGTTCCATTTTGATGTGACCTTGGTCTGTCTCAGCAGCATTGCCCAAATGAAACAAATGTGATCAGTAAGTAGATCTTTTAAACCCTGCAACTCTTGTCTAAACTATTACTAAAAATTTCTTGTCCAGATATTTTCTGATCCAAGACCTTTCATTCTCGATGTGCATGTTGCTTTATGTATATAATAGGATTATAACATTGTTTTTATAGTGATAGAGACGAATTGAATTCTTACGTATCCGCAGTTTTCCGTCGTAATGCCGTGTCCTGTAGTTGAAGCGTTGGGTGCCGTTAAATTACTGCTTGGTTTAATGTTGATTTTGTTAATTTTGATTTTTAATGTACGAGCTGCTACTTGAGTTATCTGGTATGCAAAAATTATTTGTCTTACATACTAAATTGAATTTTTCGTAAATTTAATAAGGTTATAAAATAAATAATTTGTATAAAAAATAAAAAATGTTAAAGATATAGGAATCTTAAATAACAACGTTTTCTATTAAAATTTTATAAAATTATAAACCTCAATTTTCAAAGGAATAGAATCTTTAAAAGTAATTTTTTATTAGTTTATTAATAATTACATAAAAAGTTTGAAATCACTTGATTAGATATAAACCAATGCATTTGCGTACCTTCGTATGTATACCTTGATCGATCTCAATACCGCTATGCGTCACGCATACCGTACCATCGCGAGCACAAATCGACACCATTGCGTTGTATTGCCCTTCACCATCTGTTATCAAGTATTTCATTGGTACCAGAGCAATTCCCTTTTTCTTCCAACGATTGATTCTATTGAAGTTCTGAGTATCATCCATGATCTTCACATAATTGGATTTTGCCCTCAAATCATCCATCATACCTGTTAAAACAGGTTTATCCACATTATTCATGTTTACCAATCTGACTTGTACAGAATCTAATCGTGTCACTTTTGCAATATGTTCCATCATATTCTCGATTATAGCAACTCCTTCCGTAGATCCTGACGCCCGACAAAACGTGTTAGACGGTAAATCGGTTCTCACGTCGAATCCAGTGAACCTCCAAGTATCGGTTAAATAGCAGCTGCTAACGATAAAAGTTGATTTACTTAATTATTGAATATTATTTTATAATTGTTAATTAAAATAATTTGTTTTATTTGCATTAGCATTATAATATTTTCTCTTTCTGTGAAATATCAAAATTCAAAATTTTGTTCAGAATAGGATAAACACGGATTAACTTATCCTAATATTTGTCTAAGCTAAAAAATTTGCCACTTTATTTTAACATATCGTGCACAGGAAGTATATATAATGGATAGATTTAGACATTAGACAGAAGTACACCTGACGGATATCGTGGATAGATAAAGCAGACTAAACCGAGACGGAAAGTCCGCCACGCACCATCAAAACGTCATGACTCGAACGGCGCGATTGGCAGGCCGTTCCACTGCTTCCTCGTTGGACATACATATTCAGTAATCTTTAGACTTTTGCTGAAATCGCAACATGGTACAGGACTTTTCGACTGGGTATAGTCTATTTTATCCACGCACAAAATATTTTGTGGTTATGACACTAGTGGTACAGTTCTAAAAAAAAACTCTGACGGATGCTTGAAACATACGGTTGCCAGGATCTCCAAACACCAATCCGCACCAAATCGAACGAAGAACCAAAAAAAAAGAAAACTACAATTGCGTCGTGAGGTTCGCCGTATGGATTAGTCAAAATTGCGGTTTTATCAAAAAGTTACAATCGTGAATTACGATGTCGCACAACTATTCGCGTATGTGATTGATTCGAGGATTACAAGAGATTCTGCTCCCTTCTTTTTATTTATATTAGAACTCGATCCTGTTTCCCATGGATTTGAAAATCACGTAACTATGCGTACACGGTTTACGTACAGCATTATATCAGGAATAGCAGGATAGGAGAGTGAATGTAATCTTGCGATGCGCGATCGAAGTCAATTGATCCGCAAGCGACCCTTTTAGATAAAGACCTAAACAGACCTAAATACAGACCTAAATATACTATGTACTATGATTTGACGTTTTGGTTATAGCTACGCTATCGCCATGAGATCATGTAGAAATTCAAATTTTATTTAATATATAAATGTTTCTTTTTCTTTAATCGCCTTATTACACGAACTGAAAAAATTAGTTTTAAATAATTATATAGAAAGAATCTTTGTGCCGCACCACCAGGTTTGGCTTTCCGAAAAAAGTACCCTGGCACCGCCAGGTCCAACCAGAGCTTGACTATACGCCACTGCTTCTGTCTCTCTCTCTATTACGCAGTATATATATATTTAACATGATGTTGTTATAAAAGAAATTATTACATATATTTTTTTATTTGTGTGTGCTCTGCATATTGTGTTGTGATACCTTTGCATGTAAGAAGCTACCATAGCAGCCTGTGATTCATTGAAACTAGACCCACAGTTGCTCCAATGTCTCGAGTCCAGATACTGTATAACTCCGTTGTTGTTTACCCCTATCTCATATTCTTGTCGCGCAGAACATCTTTTGCCTATCGATTGCATATTGCTCTCTATCGTCGTGACGAATCGCGCTGGACGATTCAGTTTATGACATACCAATGCGCAAGCACATGAAATTTGCGCGTTGCGTGAGATTTTTGATCCATACGAACCACCAAGTCGATTGACATGCACATTGATACTAAAAAAAATTACATTCATGCAATTTATGCTAAGTTTATTTTTGCATTTGCTAATATTATTTTGAAATACTTATTATATTACTAAGTTAATTTATTTCATTCTATAAGAAAAAGGAAATGTCATTTAGTTCTTATTTTATATTGTGTAATGTGTATACATATCTATATATACATATAAATATTCTGTTTTCGAGTAACACTAAGTATTTTTATCTCCAACTGTATACGTAAATGTTTTAATATTTAAAGAAAGATTATGACAATAATAATATATTTTAACATAAATGTTAAAATTTTTGTAATATACATAACATATGCATTTTTAAATTCGTAAAAATTGTATTTTTAGCCTTACTTACATGTACATATGTAAATGAAATGCACCTTTAATAGTAAAGCTTAAAAATATCCTGCTAAATGTATATATATATATATATATATATATATAAAAAAAACAAGTAAACAAAAAATAGGGAACACTTTCAAACACGCTAAAAATTGGGTAATCTTCAGAACACCGTAGCTCGGTGAAAAATCATCGCAGACGAAAAATTAAAAAAGCATTTTAAAGGGTGAAATCTCTATTTTCGGAATCTATAATTGGTATTTTAATTTGATTGATTTATACGGACACAAATGGATATCTGTCAAATCTATAAAATTTTGTACAAACTTCAGAAAGGTCTATGGCGTAGAGTAAAAGTCACACAAATTTGCCGTTTACAGCTGTGGAAAGAGTGAATCTTTACCTTTAATTTGTTTTTGTTCACTGAACGTTGTACGATTTTTTTTCACCGAGTTATTAAACTTTGAAGCAAAAGTGATAACTTTTTTTTTTGCTTCAACGTTCAATAACTCGGTGAAAAAAAATCGTACAACGTTCAGTAAAAATACAAATTAAAGGTAAAAATTCACTCTTTCGATTGCTTCCAATCGCATTTTTGGGTAATTTTTACTTCATGCCATACACCTTTGTAAAGTTTGTGAAAAATTTTTGGATTTGACGGATATCCATTTGTGTCCATAAAACTCCGTAAAATATCAGTCATATTGAAATTTCAATTATAGATTTCGAAAATAGAGATTTCACCCTTTAAAATGCTTCTTTAATTTTTTGTCTGCGATGATTTTTCACTCAGTTACGGTGTTCTGAAGATTGCCCAATTTTTAGCGTGTTTGAAAGTGTATCCTATTTTTTGTTGACTAGTGTATATACAGGGTGTTTGACAAATAATGAAAAATTATGTCGCATATGGCTATAATGGACAAAACTGAGAAGAAAAATCCTATACCATTTTACAATTTTCGCAATAGTTAACGAGGTATTAATTTTCAAAAATGTCCAGATCGCCCTTGTTTATGACAAGCGGCCTAGTCTTCACTAATCATGTCTAGCGATCATTGTCGCTTGTTATAAACAACGCATGCTTAAGGAGGTTCTATTGTTAGGGCAAGGGGACTAGAAAAATATGAAAAAATATAAATATTGTTATTTAAAAGTAGCTAAAGCCCTAGGTAAAGTTTTTAGGTAGAGTTGCCGACTTCAAACTCAGGAAAAACGCTTTTGAAAAGTCCGATTAATACACATGTCTTATGGGGGATATGAAAAATTCATTAGTTATAAAGATATATCTTTTCAGAATGTATCAAGAAGTAAATAACAAACTGATATATTGAAAGTATAGGATCTGTATTTCTCGTGTCATTTCTTTTGTAAGCTTCAAAATCATAATTTGAAAGTCTCATGATAATCTTATAAATTAGTCAAATGTGGAAAAGTTTTTTATTTGGATATATTCTTGCATTCATTTATATATGCGTGATGAAAGAACCTATGTAGTAATTTTTGGAGGATTCTCATATCGGTTTGGTCTTTTCCATATTTGTTTGTGTTTTCCCTTTTATTCTGGAAGAGGATTTTTTATTCTGTATAAGGAAAACGAAATGGCACGAGAAATACGAAATGAGTGTTCCGTCGGTAACTCCAGCACCTTAAGGACGGCAGAAGCGCGTGAAGAGCCTCAATGGGGGCGGTCCTATCAAACCGCGCGCTTGCATTAGGCAGCGAATCGGGCGAATTAGAATATATTTATAAATTAATGTCTCGTTAACTATTGCGAAAATTGTAAAACGGTACAGGACCGTACTTCTCAGTTTAGTCAATTCTACCACAAAATTTTACATTACTTGTCAAACATATTGTATAATTGTTTAAATTTCTAATTCTATTATAGTATAAATTATATTATTCCAAAAGAACTAATATAATTATTTTTAACACAGAAGTGATTGACTCCATAAATTAATCACCTATTACTCCGGACATTAAGACAATTAGCGATCGATACTTGAATGAGATCCATCCATTGTGACGATGGATAGACGTTCATATTACCCTCCACAGGAACGCATACGCAGGATTGAGTTTCTAGGGTATAGTGATATTGACTACCGCATTGAAAGACACCCTTTATTACGTATTTAATATCGGTTCCTGTAAAATAATAAAAAATGATTTTTTATTTCAATGTACTATCTTTTTATTTTTAGGGTAAAACTGTGTTTGCTTTGACAACATTATCTCTACTTTAATTTAAAAAAAAAAAACGATTTAATAAAATATTATTAATGTCATTTCTACCTTTCCTCTTTGCTGGAATATTGACGCTTTCCCTGATTCTAGTTTTATCATTCGCATTAATAGCATCCTCAATACTTATTACTGGATGTTTCTCTGCGCTATATGTAATTTGTACCAAATCCGCAGCCTCATTCGCTAAATTTTGCGTTTCCGCGACAATTACGCCAACCGGTTGGCCGGCGTACAAAACATCCTTTTCGGCGAACAGCAATTCATCCTCTGGCAAGGACGTCAACTTACTGGCGGCAGAAATGCACAAATTCTTTCCCGGTACATCATCGGCGCTGAAGAAATCTACTACGCCCTTCATTTTAAGCGCCTTTCTTGCGTCTATATACATGATCTTGCCATTACCGATTTTGGTAACAACGAAAGCGCAAAACACTTCTCCATGATATGGACCCAGATCATTGCAATATTGGACTTCACCTGCTGCCTGTTCATAAGATTCTAACTTTGGTGTAGGCATACCCACTGGCCACTCGTCTGAATGACTATCGTACTCTTGATTACCTAAAAAATTATGTTCATTTTGGATGCACACCTTTGGACAATTAAAAGTAATATATTATGAACACTTTTTATTGATTTATACATAAATCAATCTAAAACGGCCATATTTCAATCCTTCTATAATATTAAAATCAACAATATCATTAAGAGAGTTATTAAATAAAAATATAGGGAAGGCTTGTTCTATACTACCAATAAACTTAGTACATAATGAGTAATGGTTACACCCTTGTAGAAAAGTATTATTGAGCACTAGGAGTATTTTGAGGCTCAACAACTATACTACAGCACTACTGCGCTGGTGTAGTAGTACAGTAGAGCTGAGTAATGCTGTAGTACAGTAGTGCCTCACAATGCTCCTAGTGCACAGTAGTACTTTTCTACAAGGGCATGATCTTCCGACACAGTAAAAGATTGAATTGTAATATGCATACATGAAAAGATTGGAATACGATTCGGAAACAATCGGAATATACTTTCTAATGATGTTTACTGCAAACATACTTATTGTGGATTTGAATTCTCTTTTCCAGATAATTTATATACAACTTTCGCACCGAAAGGTTTTAAATCCCTAATGGAAATGTTATGTTGTTCATAAATGCATTCCATTTGTTTGCGAAGTTAATATCTTTTTAGCTATCGCCTTATAAATATATCATTATGCATATGAACGGCAGAGATTTATAAAAATTTTTATAATAGAAATATAAAAAAAAATATTATAAACACCATTTTGTTATGAGTACCTGAAGAGAGACTTCGTTTTAATAACGTGCCACCAGCACGATAAAAATAGTTCACCTCCGGTTGGATGCTTAACATAAACTTGTAAAATAATCCTATGGCAAGAGTCTTGCGAAATTCCGATGAGTAATTCGGGAGCGTATGATCAGGTTGTAGATCCTGAGATAACATTTGTAACAGTGACTTTAAATCTTGCTGGTCAAAGAGATTTTTTCCCATCGATAGAATCTCCGTGCCACTTGCGTGATAAAAATCCTTATTGATGCCACCAAAGATAATGTTAGGTAATTCCAAAACCTTATTGAAAAATATTATAATTGTAAACAAATGATACTTGAAAAATTAAAATGTGAGTGATTAGTTAATGTTAACGTAATATAAACAATTAAAAAAGTTCTGTTACTTTGCCGTCGGTATCGATTTTGAAAAGAATGCCTGCGTTGACGTGAGTGCGAGCATTCTGTGCTCTAGGCATGATCTTATAGAATCTGTATATGTGCAGATCAGTAAGCTGTGGTAATACAACGCTATAAATGACTTTATGATGCATGTCAAGATTCAAAAATTCCCACAGATGTATAGTTTGCATTTGAGAGGGACTTTCCAGGATGTGTACCTGCGTACCGAGAGTCTGTAATATCAAAAACAAATCGGATGGGTACTCTTTGTGCTCGTATTTTAACATTAAATTCCCTGCTATGGTACCAATATTTCGTACGGGAACATTTGCGATCATTTTCATGTGCTTTTTCAATTGACCTAGATATTTAAATCCGCTTTCTTTTGAATATTTTTCAAATGTCTGCATTGCTATGGTAAGGGTTACATTTCCTCCTAGCACCAAAGTCGAATCAGTTTTTGTAATGTTACTCATGCCTGGAATGTCGTTTATATCAATGTACATATCTCTCTTGCCCGAACGATAAATACCTGCAAATTAAATTTCCACAATGTTATATATCTATGTCAAGACTGACAGTAGCAGAGTTGAGGAGAGGTACATTTTTCGATACCTTTTAAAATAAGCAATTTGATAATGTCGGAGCATGTTTTTAATAACAAAACATTGAAGTTATATTATAGAATAGAAAAATTCGATTTTTACAACTTTGTCATAGCCTCAGCGTTTATTATGTATATACTATATATACGTGTGTTCGTATAATCTAATATAGAAAAATTACCATGTGCAGTATTTCCTCCATTCAATATATACGTTGCCTGTGGATTGCTTTTTAATAACTCAAATAGAGCCTCGACTGTCGTAACTTTGTAAAAGTACGCGTCCTCTAATTTTATGCTCAACATTGTGATTCCATCAAAATGCTGCTTATCGTAGCAAGTACGTACACGTGGCATTTTGTGAGGATACAAACGGGGATACAAATTTTGCCGGGGATGGCAAACTTTAGTCTTAAGTAACTCCTGTAAAGCATATTTTATTATATTTACATTCAGATAGGAACAATGCAATTAGTAGTAAAGTTAAATGGTCCTTGCTGTAATACCAAAGTCAAATATTTTTGTGAACAAGTATAAAATAAAATTAAAAAAAAAATAATTTAAAATAAAGATTAAACTTGGATACAAAAAAAGGAAAATTTTTTCACAATTACCTCAATGTCGTGAACAGCCTTCGATTCCATTGAAACATTATCGATGGCAAATATCTTAAAAGCCTCCAAAATTGCGCGATATCCAGTGCATCGACAAATGTTGCCACCAAATGAATTTTCAATCTGCTTCATAGTCATACCTTCTTTTAACTGGAGACTGCAAAGTAGAAAAGCATAAAGATATATATAAAATATAACATTCTTTTCATATTAGAAATTAATTAATATTTTGTACCTATACAAATTCATCACCATGCCAGGTGAGCAATATCCACATTGCGAACCATTCATGTCAGCAAGCATACCTTGAATCATATGATAACCGTCTGACTTGTTTCCTATACCTTCAATCGTATAAATATTCCATCTGTGACAAAATATTGAATGAAAGAATAGTTAATATTAATATATCCTCGGTATACTCAGAAATTAAGAAAATAGCATAAAATATAAAATAAATATATATGAATGTAAGAAAAAAAATTTTAACGTTTCGATGATGAATTTTTTTTACCGCAGACTATAATTTCGCATGTAACATCATTACAGAAATCCATAACACTTTCTTAAAAATTAAGTTTGATTGCTTAGATTCTCTTTAATAAGTACATACATACCTGTCACAGATCAGTACTGGTACAAGACATGAATTCACAGCTATACTTTTGTTCTTGAATTTTACATTTACGATACAGGCACCGCAATCACCTTCATAACACATCGCTTTAGTGCCTCGAAGTTTCGCATATTCGCGGATAAACACGAGTAGAGACGTGTCAGCGACTGAATACTGGAAACGGTTTTACAATTTTATAATAACGACTCGTAAAATTTTTTCTTAACGTACATATTATTTTTTATTTCTAAAGTTTACAATTACAGTTAAAGCTTCATAATTATGTTTTATGATTTTGCTGCATGTTATTTATATGATTAACTCTTGTATTGAATGTTATCTTACCATTAAACCATACGATAAAATTTCTGTGATTAAATTTAATACCATATTTAAACTGATTTCTTTAACTTGCTTCGATGTTACTTTGACTTTAAATGATACAATAACAAATTTTCATTTCCTTAGTTACACACTGATTACAAACAATACGTACTTGAATATTGTGCTCCATTAATTAGAAAGTTTACACTATTGTCGCCAGATCTAAATATGTTAGATTAGGAAT